GGGGGGCAATAAGTACGCCCACGCCTTCTCGGCGCCTCTCACCAGGGGCAACTCCAGAGTGGAAGAGTGTCCAGCCCCTCTCAAGGAAACTGGTTCCAGAGCTTGAGCCATGCGTAGAGGTGAGTCCGACTATTTCTAGCCGGAACCTCTCAGCCTCACACACCAGCTCAGACTGCTTCCCCACCAGTGAGGTGACATTCCACGTCCCAATAGCCAGCTTCTGTAGCCGAGGATCAGACCGCCAGGGTCCCGCCCTCGGCCACCACCCATCCCACATTGCACCCGACCCCTTTGGCCCCTCCCACAGGTGGTGAGCCCATGGGAAGGGGGACCCACGTCTCCTCTTCGGGCTGTGCCCGGCCGAGCTCAGCGGTGAACCTGAGAGCTCCAAGCCGGCCAATAACCTCTAAGTGGGGATGCCCTTCCAAGTAAAAGTTATTAGCTACTTTTGTTTTTATCAAATAAGTGATATGAAGGGATTATGTGATTAAATATATTTATCCAGTAGTAAACCTACACATACAACAAGACGCAAAGTAAGCTAATAGCTAATGAAACAAATTTAATGGCTGCAGTCTAGAGCTCGACTGATATATCAGTATGGCCGATATTATTTTTTAGTTTTGATGTGATCGGCGCTCAGTGGATGCAGAAAAGCCGCACTGAACCCACTGAACCAGAGCAGAACCGAAGCAGAACCAGACCTCCAGACCCATCGGTGAATCTTGAGAGCTGGTAGTCGGCCCACGAGGACTTCTAAGCGCAGACGTGCACCAAAAGCTCTGGAGCTGTTTCCGTAGCCCATTGGGACTTTTTAAATCTAGACTTGGACTCAAATTGACCACCTACGATCCCAATCCAGCCAACCAAAGGCCTGCCCCACCACACCCAATGCGCTTTTGCGCTCCACAGCTGCAATGAACCAGACCAGAACCGGACTACCAGACTCAGCGGTGAACCTGAGAGCTCCAAGCCGGCCAATAACCTCTAAGTGGGGATGCCCTTCCAAGTAAAATTTATTAGCTACATTTTTTTTTTCATTTATCCTTTATTTATACAGGTAGTCTCATTGAGCCACGAGAACTCATTTTCAAGAGACCTGTTTAGGGAGCAGATGGTAGGGGTTAAGGGCCTTGCTCAGGGGCCCAGAGTGGGGCAAATGAGGGTGGAGGGAGGTGTGGGTGTTCCACCTTTTCCACCCACATTTTGATGATGACGGTACCAAGAGTTGAACCTGTGACATTCCGATCACAGGCCCATCTTCTAACCTCTGTGCCACCACTCCACCAACATATACATACAACATACATATAAGTATGTTGTTAAAATTAGTAGGTTTAAGAGTTTAGAATATTGATTGTGGACTTAGTCTCTGCAGGTTAGGTCTGCATAAACGGAACCGAGGCAGAACGGAACAAACTTGGATTGGAATCGAGAGCCAATGTTGTTCTGCAGAACCTGGTAAGTAAAATGTAGTAGCTAGATATATAGTACTGTATGCATGTTGTTAAAATGGCGTAGGTTTAAGAGTTTAGAATATTGCAAGAGTGTGGGAAGGGTTTCTAAAGCCATAATATATATATATATATATATATATATA